GTGATGACACTTGATTCTGTGATCTGCCTCCTCAGAGCTCACACCCCAGACTAGTCTTCAAACTCCAATAAAGCAATAGAGAAGCATCCTAAATGTGCCTGATTGGCACGCTTCCTAACTGTCAAGTCATCAAATATAAGAGGTCTGATAAATTGTCATAGCCAATGGGAGCCTAGGGAGACAGACTAACCAAATTTAATGTGAATGTGGATGGGATCTGGGAGCAGAAAATGAGACATGAAGGAAAACCAAGGAAAATATGGAAAAACAGTCTTTAAGACACCTTTCTTGACCATACATATGGAAAGAGTGGCTATAACCCTCTGACAGTCCAAATACATACATTCCGGCAGTTTTAGTAATATGACAATTTTGATAAAATATTGATATTTTAGTCCTTGGTCCTAGTTGCACATGATGTAGGGGAGGGGCTAAGGTTATATAAGCTGGGGAAGCCTAGGGAGGGCCTCTTGCCATTTTATGTGGCTGTGGGGATGCCACCATCAATGCTAGACTTTCTAATGCAGCGTTAGTGGGGGGACACATTCCTATATGTAAACGCTCACTCATTGCTCTGTAAGTAAGCCCAATAAACTCACTAGTTTCCCAGATTGCAGTTTGGTGAAATTGCACTTTGGTTTTTCATTGAGACCAAGGGAGATTTGGGTAAATGTTGTTTGTATCCCTCCAGAAGGAATTTTAGCTACATCATTTTTCATGTATTTGCTTGATATTAGTGAGAATGGGTTCCACAACAATGCCAAATTCTGTGATGTTGAAAACTCCACAAGTGAAACCAGTACCATGCATGGCCATGAATGAACCTTTAAAATCAAACATTGAGGATAGAGAAGGCGCATCAAAAACAGTGTTATCGTAGGTAATCAAGTTGAGGTTGTTAATACTGGGTGGGAAACTTTTGGTATATATATATATGGCACAGGAATACTCCAACCTGGTGCTGCCTGAACAGGTTCCTGGTATTTCCCTTATCACTCACCTAGAGGCACCGCATCACAATCGTCACTAAATTTGTTGTCTCTATTTGGATGGCCAATAATATATACCAACCCACCAAGTGACAAAGGAGCTAGTCCATTATACGATCCTATGGGTACTTGCCATCCATTTTCCTCCAGTCTCAGGACAGCAGAGTCAAGAGTTTTATCAGCTATCTCAAATCAAAGCTCAATGAAAACACAGCTGTCTTCTTTTACAAGGAACTCTTCATAGTCAAATAGCACCTTTACATATTGATTACTTATGTGTGCCCACTTACTTGGCTCTATTCCCTCATCTACAATGTCATTGATTACATGTCGACAGGTAAAAATGTGCCATCCTTGGCGCAGCCCTCATGTCCATTGTTGCTCCACCTTAGATAGCCAACTGAGTCACTGAGCTGTGAAAGAAGTTTGATTATTTTAACTGGAGTACAGTTGTTTGTCAGTTTGCCAAAGTTGGTTCTATGCACATTATGTAAGAAAATCTTTGTTTTTCTTTCTCTCTCTTTCTCTCTCTTTCTTCCTTGATGTAGACTCTCTTCTTTTCATGTTCTCTTTTCAATGTGGGCACTTGTTCACAATGTTTTCTTTTAATTAATAGGCCCTACTTTTCTCTAATTCAGAATTCTGAGCAGTTGCTGTTGCTGCCTTGGGACTCTTCTCGATCTCAACCTCAACCTCAAACAGCTTGCTGTCTAACTCATCAACTGGCTGGATGTTCTCTATGATGGTATCCAGGTTAATAATGAGTTTCTCTCCTCTGAAGCCATACAGAGAGCTTGTTTCTCTTTGTGAAGTTCCCCACACTTTCGATGCAGGCAGCACTTATCTGGTTCTGCCATTCAAACACATGGTTATCTCCTCTCTGCTCACTGCCAGCTTTGGAAAATGCAATCATCTTATGGCTGCTTTCTGGAACACAACTGAGGGTCATGCCAAGGTGTATGTACCCTTTAATTCCTTCTACACTACACACCAGCATTTCCTTGCCTTGGTAACTTTGCATATCTTCTTTGACAGTATTAAGAACATTTAGTGCTGCATATGAGCTACCTGTCTTCCTATGTTTGAGCACGTTTCATTTGTTTTTCCTGTGATTTACATCCAAAGTGATGCTAATGATCTGGTATGAAGTGGGGTTTGATCTTGTCCCGTTTCCTTAGGAAAAATGGGGTGTTTGACCTGGCTACCTTGGTCTTTTGCAAGATTTTACCTTCACTTGAGAAATATTAGAATCATTCTCTTCTTTGAAGACCTAAATATAAATGGTAGATTAAGATTCTGACTATAACTCTAGTCCTTTGTTTCTCTTTTTGGTATACAATTCATAGAATGTCTATAGGATATTCAGAACTAATGTCAGTAGACCAGAGAATAGAATTAAATCAGAGTTCAACTTGGGACCCAAGATATAAGCTCAGCTTCCTGTTACATCAATTATTTAAGTTCTTTATTTTAAACATCATTCATTTTCCCCCCAAATAGGAGAGAAGACAGTGTTATCCAGCTACTTAAAGGTCTACCAGCTTTCATATGGGTATTAAAGGTCTTATTATTTTCAGCAACACAATTTTTATCTGTACCAAGCACAGGATGAATTTCACTAAAATTTTTACTTTTTTGATTTTGTTTCCTTGTTTTGTTGTTTAGAAACAGGGTCTCACTATGTAGCAGTGGCTGGCCTGGAATTTGCTATGTAGACAAGGCTGGCCTTGAACTTACAGAGATCTGCCTGCCTCTGACCCCTTTGTGCTGGGACTAAACATGTACATTACCACTCCCAGTAATTTATTTTTGGTTTTATAAGACAAGGTTTCATTGTGTAGTCGAGGCTGCCCTGGAACTCACTGTGTAGTTTAGGTGGCCTCAAGTGCATAATTTTCTTGTCTCAGTCTCTTGGTGTTGGGAATTCCAGGTATACATCACCATTACATATTTAAACAGTTTATTCTTAAACACGAAACTGGGCAGCACTATGTTTCTTTCATTTATAATCAGGCATTAAATGCTAAACAAGGGCTGATGAGATGGCTCAGTTGCTCAAAGAACTTGATGCAAGACTAACCACCTGAGTTAGATCCCTGGAACCCACATGGTTGAAGACAGAATTGATTCTTGAAAGTTGCCCCCCACCCCATACCGCCACTTTTGACACATGTACTCACATACACACACCAATAAGTAAATTTAATTTTTAAAAAAGTCCTATTCAGGGTCTACAGAGATTGTTCTACCATTAAGAGCACTTGCCACTCTGGAAAAGTACCCAGGTTTGGTTCCCAGCACCAACACAGAACACACTCTTTTGTATTTCCAGGTCTAGAGGTTCGAGTGTCCACCTTCTTCTGGCCTCCATGGGTACCAAGATGCGCGTTATACACATAAATACATGTAGGCAAACACCCATACAAATAAAATAAAAATAAAGAAATCTACTCTTCCTTTGATGGAGAAATTGCGATGCATAGTGTTTATGTTGTAACCAATAAAGGAAGAGAATATATGAATTCCAATACTCAGTCTTAAATCTTTTCCAACCAAACGATACATTCTATTTGTAAAATATACATCAATGACTTTCATTTTTTGTAAAACTTTATCTTAAGAACTGGGGAGAAGACGAGGAGAGGAACTAAGGAAGATTAATGAAATTGCAAAGAATAAAAAATTAAAGTGATGGTTACTGTTAATTCTCAACTGACAGAATCTAGAATCTCCTGGAAGAGTAACAAGAAAAGAAACTAAGACAACATCTGATAAGTATGTCTCAAAGGTTCATTTTCTCTTTATCATATTCCTCCTGGCAAGGATACCAACAGACCCAGGTTCACATCCCAGCAACATTACTCACTGGTAATAGGAACGACAATGGTGGAATGTGGTAAAAATTAAGTCTGTCATCACTTTTATAACAATAGTACCCTCCCTTAAACAGATAAAAAGAATGCAAGGTAATTTTATATATATATATATATGCATATTTACTCTGGTTGTGCATAGAAACTCCCCCAAAGCATCCTTTAGTCTCAATATTGTGAAAAACATCTTTGTCACACCCCACTGGAGTATTGTAATAGACTTCAACTATTCAAATATTCTTGACTAGATATAAACACACTTTTTCCTCCCTCCCTTCATTTCATTCTTTCTGAGATATATGTCTTTCTTTTTGAGACAGACACTATGTAGTCCAGGCTGGCACTGGCTTACAATATTCTCCCCTCTCTCCTAATACTAAGATTAAAGGAGTATGCCACCATGACTGGCCTGACAGTTTTGAAGCAAGAAGAAAGATCATGTGTATGGTTATTAGCTTGCTCTGTCGTGGAGTAGGGCAGAGGCAGGCATGTAAGCTTGTCAGTTTTTTCTAGCTATTTGGTTCTAGTTTTCTAGAACCTGTGCCAGGGAAATAAAGGGCTTCAAAATTGCATCTCAAGTGTCTGACACTTTCAGCCATCTTTATCCATTCAAGGAGCATTTTTATCTTGGGAAAGGACACAATAGCCCAGCATGATAGTAGAGCCTGGAGAGTAGCAAAAGCTGCAACTTCATGTTAGCGAGTTTGTCTGAGTCTACACTCCACCTTAAGCAACTCAATTCTCTCTTTTTGTCATAAACAAATTGGAACTAAAATTCTTCCTCATATGCCTAACAACTTTATGGTAAGAATAAACAAAAACAAAATTATTTTATAAACTTTAAAGCACTATACAGACTGCTATGACTGATTGCCTATCTATCATCTATCTATCTATCTCTCTATCTATCTATCTAATCATCTATCATCATCTATCTATCATCTATTAATCATCTATCATGTATCTATTAATCTATCATCTATCAATCATCTATCGATCTATCAATATCTATCTCTATCTATGTATATGCATATATGTGTTATGTGAGAATTTATCTGGGGAGACATCAACAAACATCTACTCACCCCAAACAGGACACTGAAGACAAACCAAAGAAACAGTTCCAGTAAAATCCAACTTGGTGATCTAATAAGTTTATTGGGGTTACTTAGAAGAATATGGATAAGGGCTGACTTACAGGAGTATGGATGAATTAAAGTTATCAGCATCTCTGAAAAGCCCATGCCAATCACAAAGCTGCAACTGGGCGCTCTCTGCAATCTTGTGGGCAAGGATCCTCTAGGCAGTTTGATGGGTTGGAGAATCCCTCTCTCTGGCCTTCCTTTACTACTTCCAGAAGCCTGGAGAGGGGCCTCATGAATCTTGTCAGTTTCAACTTCCCAGAACTTGCAAGTTTATTTACTTCTTGAATTTCAGGAGCCTCCTTCCTTCCTCCAGGAGGGAATCTTTCAATTTGGAAGAAAATCCTACACATAGCACACCACCCCTTTCCATCAGCTCTCACATTCTTTACGCCTCCCCCCTTCCACAATTTTCCCTGGGCCTTGGAAGGGGTAATGCAGATGGCTGATTATTTTCCTCCACCTGTGGCTGAGTATTGGGCCTCTACTTCACAGCAGCAGTCATTTAGTCTCAGAGGCTTGATCAGTTATGAGTCTCTGTAGCACCTTCCATTGCAAAACAGAAGCTTCCTTCCCCAAGCAATTGAGGCTTGCAGCAACAGAGATCTAAAGGCATAGGCAAATATATTTAGAAGGCAGTCTGAAAGACATCACATTCATTCCACAAAACCATAGCAGTCGCTTCTTCCCTGGTGCCTATGACTTCAACTTCAGGCTTTGGACCTGACTACTTTAGTAGGCTTAAATCCCATTCTGTGGATAAGGCCTTAGACCTAATCAGAAAGTAGTTAGCTACATCTATGACAATAGTGCCACTGTTGCACCAGTGGGCACATTCTGCCTAGCATGTTGGGACTGTAGTATATGAGGTCCATAGCTGAGCAGGACTATTGGTGACACTCTGCCCCACCCCCTAATAGCCTGCATAATGCCTTTCAACACTATGAGAATCAACCAGGAGGGAACATCTGGCTCAGTCCCAGTTTTGATTCTCAATTTCTTACAACTGAGATGTGTGATGTCTTCAGCAATAGAGTCTTACCATCTAGTTCTGGCATACAACTAAGAGCAGAGGCAATGGTCTTAACATACTGTGGGATTTCAGAGGCCTCCCTGGTAAAAACTCACAGAGGACAGCCCACCTCCAGTACTGGCATTATAACTAAACTCCATTAACTGCTGTCTTTACTGATCTTTCAAATAGTTTTATAAGTCTATAAGACACTTAAAGGTTAACATTATCTATGAAAACCTTAGCAGAGGATGCACAGGGCAAGGAAAGGCCCACTATTGTCTCTTCCAAGCAAGGGCCAGATGGTCTTGGTCAGCTCAGCAGATACTGAAAAAGAAACATTAGCAAGATCCAGTGCAGTATGAGAAGATGTCATCACTTCCTTCCATTTTTTCATCAAAAACATAATGCTTAGTGGTAGTCAGGTGCTTTACCAGGTGAAAGCACTTGACCTGAGTTCCCTACCTGGAACCTAAATGACAGAAGGAGAGAACAGAATCCCACAAGTTGTTCTTTGACCACAACATGTCTATTGTGGCATGTGTCCCTGTCCCTCACCCCTACACACACAAAATGAAGAAAAAACAATTAAAAAACATAAAGGAGTGTTCTGAAAGTTAGTGTATCATTGCCAACAGAATGGTACAGTGCCTTTAAAGAGAGAAAACAGATGGAATTTTGTTCAGTTTTCACTACTCCAGACTATGCATTTCTACATCCTGCTGCTGTGCACAAACTTCATTATACCATATTTCATGCTTCTGCTTAATATCATTGAGGATGCGTTCCATCCTCAAACCAAGCTCAATGATGCTAGAAACTCCATGTTGGTCCTCACAACTGAAGCCAACAGTGTGCATGGCGACCAATGAACCTTCACAATCAAACACAGGGGATCCCGAAGACCCACAATAGAAAGCATTACTGGTAATGCCATCAGGGTTCCTGGTTGTTTTCTGGAAACTTCTTTGAGTGTACAGACGGATATACTGCTCAGGATCACTGCGATCCATTGCTTCTCCTCCCTGAACACATTCCTGATTTTCCCTTTTTTGTATACTTTGAAAAACCACAGTACAAGCATCAATAATCCTAGGTTTTCCATCTGGATGGCTAATCATATACATCAAGTCACTAGGGAGCCTAGGAACTGTTTCATTATATAGTCCGGGAGGTACCTGTTGTCCATTTTCCTTCAGTTTCAGGACAGCATAGTCAAGAGTTCCATCACCTACCTCAAGCCAAGGTTCAACAAGAAAAAAAATGTCCAATTCTTCATAATCTTCATAATCAAATGTCACCTTTACACTCTGGCTAATTACATCAGTGTGTTCACGTGGCTCTCTGCCTATTCCCACAATGTCATTTAATACATGCCAGCAAGTAAAAATGTACAGTCCTCTAAATACAAAGCATGTGGCCCCACCTGTCTTGCCGTTACTGTTCCAGGATATGTACCCAACAGACTCAAGGGACTGTGAAAGAAATTTCACTCTTTTACCTGGCGTAGAGTTTTTTGTTAGTTCCTTGAATGCCCTCCTATGTGCTTTAAATAAGGACTTTCTCAGTTTTTTAGTTTCTTCCTTTATGTTCCTTCTAACTTTTTCACATTCTTCTTTCAACCCTTTGCAGTACTTTTCCATAATGTCTTCTTTTAGCACATGTAAGTTTATTTCCTCTAACTTAGAATTCCGAGAGGCTCTTGCTGCCCCTGGGCTCTTTCTTATCTCAACCTCAACCTGAAAGAGCTTGCCCTCTAACTTGTCAATAGGCTGGGTGTTTTCTATGATGTAGCCCTGGTCAGTAAGGAGTTTCCAGGGGTCATTCTCTACAAAGGAAAGAAACCTGCCATCTTTCCTCAGAGTGTCCTTGATGGTCTCTCCTTTGAAGCCATACACACAGAGTTTGTACTCTTCTTTGTCAAGTTCCTTGCACCTTACAATCCTTTTCTTCCTCTTCCCAAATGCATTAATGTAAAATATGACACAGTCATCAGATGACTGGTCCTGCCATCCAAACACTAGGTTATCTTCTTCCTGCTCACTTTCAGTTTTGGAAAATGTAATTACCACTCGGCTGCTTTCTGGAAAACAACTGAGAGGCGTGCCAAGGTGTATGTACCCTTCAATTCCTTCTGTGCCACACACCAGCATTTTTTTGCCTTGATGACTTTTTATCTCTTCTTTGACAGCGTTAAGAGTTTTTAGTCCTGCATATAAGCTATCTGTCTCCCTATGAGTGAGCACATACGTCTTCTGGTGTACGCCCAATGTAATGATGATTGTTTTCCTTGGGACAGTGGTCTGATCTTGCCTAGTTTTCTTATGGGAACAGAATCTTTGTTCCTGGGTGTTGGTTACATCACGTGGTCTTTTTTGAGATTCCATTTTCACAAGAAGGTAGTGTGATGGTTCTGCTTCTGCTCTTCTTTACAGACCTGAAAAGAAATGTTAAAGACTTTAAATCTCTGACTGTAACACTCATCCTTTGTTTTCCTTTCTACTATGTAATTCACAGAACACCTGTGGGAAATTCAGAACCAATCTCAAAAATCAATGGATAGATATGTCACCGTTTAACCTGGGATCCCAAATATAAGCTCAGCTTCCTATGATATCTGTCAGATAAGTTCTTCAATTACACACAAGCCCATTGTCCCAACATAGAGTAAAGGAAAACAACTGCTATCTAGACTTTTCACTATCTACTAGCTTCCATACAGAATATTGTTGGTATATTATTTACAGTAATATATTATTTTATCTTTCTCAAATATAGTAATGCATTGCATTCACATTTTTATTCAATTGTTCATTTATTTATAGTTTTTAATTTGAGAAGGATCTCATTATATGTAGCTAAAACTGCCCTAAATTGCAGTATGTAGCCCAGGCTGGCCTCAAACACAATTTCCATGCCTGTCTCTCCCTGTTGGGGTTCCAGAAATGCACCTCCATGTCCACCTTCAATAATTGTATGTTTTAAACCCCTGAATTTAGTAAGGATATGCTGCTGTGATTTAATCCTTTATCTTTTTTTTTTCTTTTTACAGAGTTATGTCTATGGTGTCTGCCTGTGTATGAGTGTTTACCTCTGTGTGGGCCCATGTGTATGCATGTACATGTGGAGACAAGAGGTTGATGTCGAGTATCTTTGCTAATCATTCTCCACTTTATATATTGAGCTAGAATCTCACACTTCAAAACAGAAATGCTGATTCGATTTATCTAGGTAGTCTGGTCGATCCTAGGATCCCCTAACTCTTCCTCCCTTATGCTGGGAATACAAGCAGGCCAGCACATCCACCCCTCTTTTACATGGGTCCTGTCTGAAAAAAAGAAGCAAGGGTTCTAAGTGAGATAATGATCTCATAAGCACATGTGCCATATCAGTGTTAGTGCTAATGAGACTGTCTGGGCTCAGCTAACAGGTTGTCAAATACTGGCTCCATGAGCTTAGTTGCAAATTAATTAATTGTTTCTACTATCTTTGTTTCACTGCAGAAATCAGCCTTAACTGTTCTAAAGATCAAAATGTCCACAAGGCAGATGAAGTGTTTAAGATAATGATCCACATGTAAACATTACTGCTAGGGCTACTACCAATACCAACACCGAGGCATGGGGACACTAAGATAAAACAGGACCTGGGTAAACAAATGACTAATTGAGGAACGGGGCTATGATCTAAAGTTTCCAAGGGCAGAAATGTGTTCCTCAACCGATAAGAAAACTTGAGGTTCCTGGTGTCTGCTGATGCTTCCTCGTACGGATAGAAAAAAGAAAAATAAAGTGAACAGAAAGAAAAAGTAATGTGTAGCTCACTGGCCTGTACATTGAGTACTTCCAGTAGAAGGGACCAACATATTAAGAAGGACCCCTGGCCTCTCTATACTTCCTCTCCCCACCCTACATGGCTTCTAGTATCCAGACTTAACCATGTGATGCCAAGACATGACATAGCTGTAATATTCCTAGACACAGTTAAAGCCAGGATTCCACTGACCTAATGCGCTTGCAGTGAAGTATTAAGCACCACAATCCAGAGTCCCCTCACCAGCCCACCCGACAGTTCTGGAATCTTTCTCACCCCCTTGTTCTCTCTGTCACACCGTTTCCCTCCTCTTTATTGCTGCCCCTCTCCCCTACTTCTTGCTCTCCCCACCTCATCCTCCCTCCTTCCTCTCCACTTCTGACCTCACAGTCTCTTGCCTGTTTGACAACTGGGTATTCTTGCTTCTGCTTTTTCTCAGGCAGGCATTTCAGACCCAAGGATCCCAGCAGATCTAAGCTCCATGCTTAGCCCACCACCTTGCTCCCTCTAGTACCCAGTGGGAAAAGCAGCAGCCACTGAAAACAAACTTGGCTGTCCAGGTCCTCCAGATGGGGGACACTTCTGAATTAGTCCTCAAGACCCTCCATTCATTTAGTTCAAAGACTCCAGGAAGGACAAGCCTCAGCCATTGGTGGAGGACCTGACAACCCTACCAGCTCACTGAACCAGTGTGACTTTCTCACAGCCAGAACAAGTTGTGCCTCTCTCCAGCCCCAGACTCAAGTCTGTTCTTACCGAAGGAAGTGTCATCAATCCTCCAGTCACAGTGAGTACAGTTAAAACAGTGTGGCCACTTTAGAGGGGATTGCCATAAAGGACACACTGACAGGGAGTGTGAAAGGAAGCTTACACCCTCAGGAAGTTACTGAGTCTCTGGGGTATTTTTGATTCATTCCATTTCACTCTCTCTATATTTTTTGCTAGTGTGCAAAGCAATGGGTTTCATGATGGCATCCAATTGACTGTTTTCTCACAGTTGCAAACATGGCAACTCTACCAACTCTTCTCTACCAACACACCTCACTCCACCTCAGTTTCTGTAAGTTCTTTGCTCTTTGGACAATAACAAAAACAGAAAAATGATAGCCTCAGGTATCTCCACCATGGAGTATCACACCCCATTTTCATTTCAGACAGTCTGGCTAGTCTAAAACAAAACATGAAGTTCATCACAGAGAAGGTGGTGATTGACACCTGAGAGTCCATGTTTGTTCTTGATGAATTTGTTTTACACACATACAAAACGAACAAACCAACAAATATAGTGACAGAGACAAATCACAGTGTTGCTGATAAAAGGAACAGTTTATTTTTTTGCCAAGCATAAAAGCTTTTCCAAATCTTGATTGTAAACTCAGAAAGATTCTTTAAAAGGCATCCTCGCCTCTAGAAAGAAAATAAACTCCATACCTGTGAAGCACACAAACAAGAAATTCAAACTAAAGAACAAAACATCTTCCTCACCTCTGAGGACCAAGGCAGCCAGGATCTCAGAGGAGTACACTGGTTCTCACTCGAGGACGCTGTTGCATCAACCTTTCATATTGATAAAGTCAAGGGTTGGCTCCTGAAAATTTGTTGATGTGATAAAACTCAGCTTACTGCTATTGGAGAAAGGAGGAAAATCATTTGACAGAAATTTGACATTGCTGGGTAAAGAGCAAGGTTGTACAAGGACAAAAGGCAGCACTTTGAGATTATGAAGTCTGGCCTAAGTCGGTCTTTTAATTGGAAGATTGGGAAACAAATGATATATCCAATCTAGGATTTTGAGGCCAGGGTTCAAAAAAATCCTGAGATGTAAACTGTTCTTTAGTATATTTTATGAAGAGTGGCTGGTCATGGAAGAAGCCACGGGAGTAGTTAACAAAGTCGACCGCAACTTTCTGTTCCCCAGCACAGGTTTTCTGCCATTACAGTTATGTGGAACGGAATGGTGGTCAGTTATGCAGGACAGGAGAACCTCACTCTGCTAACTGCTGTACAAGCCGGAGGAAAAAAAAAAATCAGTATCTGCTCAGTGCCTTGCTCAGTGCCTTTTCACTCAGGAAAGAAGCGACTCAAGAAAACACATTCGTGCGTGTTTGCTGCATTCAAACACCGAGTAGAGTAGGTCATTTTAAGAGATATTCCCATAAAGTGAGCAACCGGATGCAGATATCAGTTCCTAAACTTAGAGTGCCATCTCTCCTGAGCACTGAAAAAAGAGAGCTGTGCCCCTTGGCTCCGGTTCTACCATGAGCACTGGGAAGCGCACCCTCCCCAGCCCGGCTTCCAGAACATGGCCGGCAGGTCCACAGACCTTTCCCACCCAGTCCCCACTAGTTTGAGGTTTTTGTGCACCGTTTTCCTGCCAAGACATCCTCCGTAAACTCCAGGTCGTCCCCAGAACTAAGGGAGTAGCCCACCTGGGAGGAGCGTCTCTTCCAAGCCCCAGTGCTGCTCTCCTCCGATGCCGCGCGTGTCCTCCAGGTGTACAGGATTCCCGCTAGTGAAAGAAAACCGCGGAACCTGACTCATGGTTGCCGCCTTCCAAGGGGCGGAGAGGTCGTTTATTGGTCTTTTCCAGACAGCTGTCCACAAGAAGGAAGTCTATTGGCCGCCCTATGGCCAGTCGGAAATGGCGGGGAAAGATGTCTTGGGGCTTCTGTTCAGGCCCCTAGCTTCTCGTCCAGGCTGCTCACTGAGTCAACGTCATTTTTTTTCTATTCTGGGACATTGTAACATGCCCCAGTGCACGTGTGCGCCGGTGCAAATTCCACTGGGCGGGGCTGGAGAAGGCCTGGAACAGAGGAAATTTGCTGGCACTGGTGCAGGGTTACCTTCCTGCAGGAGTCCAGCTCCAGCTGAGTCCGGGGACTGAAGGGGTGAAGGTAACTGCGGAGGTAGAAATGGCTATACCAGAAACCACAATTGCAGTTCTAGTAAAGGCTGTTGACTGACCCCCCCTGGGGGGAGGTCAGTCCGAATATCTTCTTTCTTTTTCTATATCTGTCTCTACTTCTCAAAAAACAGCCTTGTACAACCTTTATTTTTAATTAGAAAGCTTACAATAGCAGTAAAGCATCAGACTATAAATCAAACCATGAATTTGCACACTATTTCTCAGTCAATTGCAGTTCTAGTAAAGGCTGTTGACTGACCCCCCCTGGGGGGAGGTCAGTCCGAATATCTTCTTTCTTTTTCTATATCTGTCTCTACTTCTCAAAAAACAGCCTTGTACAACCTTTATTTTTAATTAGAAAGCTTACAATAGCAGTAAAGCATCAGACTATAAATCAAACCATGAATTTGCACACTATTTCTCAGTGTACAATAATTTTCAATAATCACAGTAAAAGGAAAGTACAAAGTTCAATGATTAACCTTTTCTTAACATAGCCAAGCAACGTCTTTATTGTTTTCTTTATAGCCTTGCAGTTTCTGTTCTACCATAGACATGTTTCATGTCCCATATCAATGCTCCAATGTGCCAACACTATGGCCCCATGTGCTATTATATTGCTCCAAAATTATTTTTCTCATGGGAATGGAAATAACTAACTTTTTATTTATTGTCTAACCAATATTCCAATTTATCTTTTTCCCCTCCCTTTTGCTATTTCTTCCTGAACATTTTGTACTCTTTGAGTCATATGATTATTTTCTTTATTTCAATATCCTTTATTATTTTGTTGCCATTTGTCTTTAAGGGCATTTTGAATCGCTTTTATTCTTTGTAAAACAATAGGCACTTTTTATTGAGGAGACATGCACCACCAGCTACCTACTGACCTAGCTAATCTTTCTATCCAAGAAGGAGTTTCCCTAAGCCAAATAGTTTTTCCTTATACCAAACTTTAGTCTCAATAGTGCCTTTTTCAGGATTAAAATCATAAACTCCTGTAAAAGGTAGCAGGGCATCTAGAGATTCCATACTATATTTCTTTGGGGGAAACCAAGCCTCATTAGTAATCACAAATGCAGGGCCAAATGAGATCATAGTCATGGGAGGAAGTCGTCTCTCTTATTACTTTCATTTTGTTTCAGTAACATAATTCTGCTAAAGGCAGAGATTTCCTCAGTTTAATTTCCCATTCTATCATCAGAGTTGGTTATCAGAATACTTAAATAAGAGAAGGTTATACAAATTACAAAAACCAGGAGTAACTGGGGAAGGGATATCCACCAAAAGAGCAGCGGTCATAGGCTTTCTGCTGGAACTTTGTCAAACAGCACTCTTGCCAAGAACCACAGAACTCTTGGAGCCAGCACCTTCAGCCAGCTTGAACTTGTTCCAGGCATGGCAGGCTCCCAGAACACAAGAGAAGAGGAGGCACCAGGTCCTGCAGCACCATCTGCTGCATCGGGCAGGAGCCACCGAGGCTTGAGTGAGTGGCAAAGAGGGAGCTGGGGGCACTCAGTTGCTTCCTAGGGGTTGTATCCCCTGCAGTGGCAGCTACAGGGCTTGAACAGCTGGAAGACATTGCAGGTGCCTGCAGAGGTTGAAATGAATTTATTTTCCTGTGTGCTTCAGTATGTGCAGATGTTCTCATGCCCGATGAAGAAGATCGTTCCCACTCCAAAAAATACAGGTAGTAATTCTGCAGTAAAGCCCTTGACTTGTGTTACTCACCATAGAGATATGATGAAAACGTAAAAATATTCCAGTGTATGGAAGAGGACTTAGTAGAAAAGGCAGACTGTCCAGGCATAGTCATTGCATGCTGAAAGCACATTTTAGGATTGAATTTAATAACGTCCATTATTCAAGAAGGGTTAGAGAGCGAGAGGAATTCTACTTGTGCATGCTTTTCTCTTACTTCTGGCAGACCACAGCTGTGCTGGTTTACCAGCCAATTTGGCCCCTTGGTGAGGACAGTGTTGTGAACTGATGCAAAAGCCTAATATCTTAGGCAGACTGGAACTTCTATGACAGAATATTGTGAGTTTGTCTGACAGCAATGAATTGTCTCTTGTTTAAATCCTATTTTTTAGAAACTCGACAACTGCTCCTATATAATTTGTGATAGACACCAAGAACTGGAGTTTATAAACAGGACCTCTGAGACACATCTTGCAAAAAGGAAGCACTTGGAACAGTCCAGCTAGCTCCTACTTGTCAAAGATATAAAAGTCCAAATTCATTCTAGGTTAAAGAAATACAAAATAAGCCACCAAGTGCAGGAAATCTTGAGGATGCTGGAATCTGTGGATTCGGGAGGCAACATTAGAATAACTGAATTCAAGAAAGTACTCTCTCAGATGCAGCTTAGGAGTCAGGAATAACTCTCACAGGAACTCCTAACTCTATTAAAGCAAAGAGGAGACAGTGAAACATTGACTGGAGTGGTCCCTGCTGCTGCTGCTGCTACAACTCTGGATGTCTAGGAAACTGATGGCTACACACTGACACTGAGGGTAATCAACACAGGGGTTTCTACATGATTAATTTGCAGTGGCTGAGCTGGTCTGGAGATGGAGCACAAGAAAAATGCCTTCCAGTTCATGTCCACCTTCCAAACAATACGCAAGTGCATCTATTTGGAGGAATCTGGTTTATATTCAGAAATTAGCTGCAAATTACTTGTCTGAGATATTCAGTTTTTAGTGCTCTGAGTATCATGAGAAGGGGATAGACTGGGTAAACCACTCTTCATACCTGTGGGAGAAGGGTTTCTGATTGCTGAGGGAGAAGAAAGAGAAAAACCTGGAACATTGCAATTCTAATGGAAATAGATCCTGGTCTCATAGATGATCTGAAAAGGAAAGAAAATGGGATCAACAAAGGATTTTGAAATCTTGGGAGTAAACAAGAGTCACTCTGCCAGTTATGAAAATGCATCATCCTAAGCATTTAGGATAGCAAATAACATTTTTTAAAAAGGTACGGTATATATGAGCTAAGCATTTTAAGTGTGGCTTGAGATGTCTTCAAATTTTTAGGCAGTTGGTGAGGGAAAAATATTTCATATTGACTTGAACTCTCTAGTCATTTTGTACTGTGATGTTATGCAAGTGATGCCACTGAGCCACATCTCCACCCCTCTTTGAACTTTATGTTTTCATATAAGATGTTGAAGCTAACCCTTAGTGTACTTTGTAACCCAGACTAGCTTAAGTTTCCTTCATTAGCCTCCTGAGTAACTGATTACAGACCTGTGGCAGGAGACCCTTCTGACAGCATCTTTTCTTTAATACACCATGGGTCAGTGTAATGATTTTGAAGTGAAGACTCTTTGGTGGTTATTTTTCTCTCTTTTGTGTCCTTCATTTGTGTCTTCATTCAATAATTTATACAAGTTCTTATTTTTCTATTTAATATTGCAAAGAATAGAATGCTTAGAGTAGTCAAATTCAATAAAGGCATGAAGTGTATTTCATCATTCATAAAAATGTCTGATCACATGTAAGTAAGAAATCTGCCAGATTTCAGCTCTGGAGAACATAAAGACCCACTACGATATGAAGAATCATATGTGCATGCTCCAAACACTGACAAGAGTGGTTCCCACTCTGATTTCTTGGTATCTTTATTTTCCATTTCCACAGCCTTATATGAGCTCCACTGGCTGGAAGCTCAATGTGAGATCATGACTGAACCTGAAAGACACTTAAGATAGCTTGTGGGTGGACCAAGTGGACTGACTCTAACCCCCTAAACTCACCCCAATTTCTGCCATAAGTTCTATAAAAACCTTCTAGACTAGTGGTTTGATGGTCTCATTTCCTGGGAGCCGTTCGTGCTATACAGAAACTCTGCTTGCTTGCTTTCTCTTTGCTCCCTCCTATAATCCTGTAATATAATTCCTCTCTAAACTCACCTTTCCATTGTCTGTGAAATTTTTCTTTGAGTTTGGGAGACAAAGGATCCTGAAGCCTCAGGCATGGGGTGGGTCTGGTGGCTGTTGATTTCTTGGACATTTTAGCTCCCCAAGCTATACACATCCAAGGTGGGAAAGCCTTCCTTCCACTCACCCTTTTCCCCATTTGAAAATCACAGCAGAACCATCTATGTTCCCCTTCCCTCCTCCCTCCCTCCCTCTCTGCTTTATTTTTTCTTTCCTTTCTTTCTTTCTTTCTTTCCTTCCTTCCATCCTTCCTTTCTTTCTTTTCTTTTTATTTTCTTATGACTCTTTCCATAAGACCCTAGATATTAAACTCAGGACCTTGTGCATGCAAGGTAAGAACTCTATTACAGAGCTATATCTGCAGCCTTTTCATTCATTTAACTTGTTGCTTTTGGGGGGGAGATGGTGTCTATCTAAGATTAGAAACTGAGCTATCACTCCAGCCTCTATAGTTTACTGTAATTGAATTTTCTACTCTGGAATTCCATCATACACTTCAAATCATACCTCAGTGAGAAAACCAATACCAATGAACATCAGAACACTTTATAAGTAAAAATTATCTTTTCAATTACTAATTATGGCCCCAAACTTGGATCTATGACTTCACTTACCATAAGACTGATATAACCACTATTGATGGAAAAAAAGGCAAGATACAAAGAACTATAACTTTCAACCCTGGACACCTCTTCCTT